ACACACACACACACACACACACACACACACATCTCTCTCTCTCTCTCTCTCTCTCGCTCTCTCTCTCTCTAAATTGCAGGAAACTATATTGCCAATTTTTGGAAGCTGTGGAGAGGTCCATGGGGCTGGAGAAAATCATTATAAGAAGATGGAATTCCCCCAGGTGCTGGGTTAGCAGTTGAATTGGGATGGTGCTTTTTTTATTAGCGTTTCTCTGTGCATGTTATTTCTCCATCACAGGATATGAAAATGTTCCTTATATCCTGTTTTGCAGGCTTACTATCTATTACCTCCTTGAAAGTGCTGTCATTTAAAAATGGCAGAGCTTTATTGTTGCTCAACAACCTTATGATTGCACATCTCATTTTTCCTGGAGGAGAACTGGGGGAAGAGATAGAAGGCTGCTTCAGACTTGATTTGCCACCACAAACCTTGGAAAGGATAGTGGATGTTACTTTCTGCAGAGGTGTCCTCTTCTTGTTGGATGAGACCGGATGGATATGTATCCTTTAAGATGAAGCTGGACAACCTTGTTTGGACCAGCATGGTGGAGGGTGGGCTTCCAAGGACTGTAGGTTTGGTCATGTCCCAGGTTGGGTAGTGCTGAAATTTAGGAGTGGAAATGGAGGCATTTTACCTCATAGAGATTTAGCACATTAATTTCCACCTATACTGTGAAAAAGGCAAAAAGTGCCCCATTGATCCAAGGGCTCTTGCATAAAAGGTGAATGGGGACTGCATACATCCCATTATTTGAGGTTTCTAGGGTGCCCACCTGTGCTTTAGGTCATACGTAAAATTTGGCTTGTGGGCTGCCCCACCCACAGTGCTCTTGTGTCTGACCAACAACTTCTCTTCTGGAGTCCTTCCTTGACCTCACAGGGGCCTTCAAGACCTTGTTCAGCACTGCCAGAGGAGTGGATTACCGTAAGACAAAAATGATTTTTTCTCCTGAGACTCTCCAGTGGCATATCAATAATCGTGAAGAGTTAAATGCTTTAAATATCTTGGATTCATTTTCCAGGCCTCTAGTGGGAAAACTGTGCGCACTACTTATACCTCCTCATTGGCTCAAAAAAAAATACCACAGTAATATGTTTCCATTGAAAGCAGGGAGGAGATTTTATTCCAGGAGCTTTTAAAAGACTTGATTTAAGAAGTTAAGAAAAAAGTATTTCTTCTTGTTATTAGATTTATTGTGGCTGCCTACTCCAAAAGACTCTGGGCAGCTTACAGCCTATCAACATATACAATTAAAACAGTTAAAAACACCAAAACACAGCAGCCCGGACAAGAAAGCAGCCATAACAGTAAAACAGCCCCAAACCCACCACCACAGCAGGGCCTCCACCAACACACTAACCCCAGCCCTGGAAACAGAGCCAGGTCTTAAGGGCTTTGTTAATTTTTTTTAATTTCTTGATTGTGTTGAGTTGTTGGGGGATTTGTGAGCAGGCACATTTCACTCATATATTTTCACAAATAAATAAATGTTAGTTGCGTGCTTAAGTTTCAACATCCCAGTCAAACTGTGTGTTTCAGTGAACAGAAGCTGACACCGCCTCTCCATGGTACAATGTTAACATGAAATCTTTCTGCAAATTTGAAGGCATACTTGGTATGTGCAGTTGTTTATATTTCAGAATAAGAAAGCAGTGAATAAAGCAGGCTTGTATTTGAACACCCCTTTGTAACATCTCCTTTGGCAAAAATAGCAGTTCCAAACACAACCTGTATCCAAGAGTCCTTGCTTTTGAAGTTTGTTTCCACCCTTGCAGAATTCAAAAAGATTCTTAGGTTTCCTGGCATGCATAGCATGATTGAGATCTCCCGACAGATTTTCAATAATATTCAACTCGGGACTATCAAGCCTTCATATTTATTTCCTGTAAGAACTTCATGGTTGATTTGGAGATATGTTTGGATTGTTGTCTTGTTGAGGTATCCATCCGCTTTTCACCTTCAGTTTTTCCCCTGACCGTAGGGTGTTCTACAGTACGCTGATATTAGCTGCATCCACTCTTCTTTCCATCTGCACAGATTCCTCGTTCCACTGTCAGCCACATAACCCCAAAACATAATAAACTTACTTAACAGTTGGGAAGGCATTCTTTTCTTCAAATGCTTTTCACCCTTTTTTCTCAAACGAATCTTGTGTGGTTGTGGCTGATATTTCAACTTGTGTTTCAGCAGCCCAAAATTTGGATTTTTGTTTTTAAGTAAGCATTTTAGAGGGGGAAAATAAGCCACAAAAGAAAGATCACCCCCCACCCCTGGCAAGGCCACATTGTTCTTTCTAATTCTGCAATATTTTAAATTTAATTATCAGTCTGTTGAGGTTTGTTACTTGTCTCTGCCAATCATTTAATATCTTATTTTCAGTTTAACAGGTCTTTATTATTTCTTTGTCAAAAAAATTCTTAGGTATGTAACTTTTTTAGCAGTAATATTAAATCCTGTTATTTACTGCAAGTAATGCTTTCCTTCTTCAACTAATTCCATGTCAGCATTTGGGTCTTAACCTGTTAATCCAATATTCTGCCAGTAAACCATACTGGTGTACACATATCTTCCAGTATCAGTTCTAAAGAGTCTTGTGGCTGAGTAACTCTGAGTCTCACGTTGTCAGCATGTGATTTCAGTTTATATTCTCAGTATTGTAACTTAATTCCTGAAATTTTGTTTTCTTGATGTATCTTCTTTGCCAATGGCTCTAATGCCAATAGAAAGAAGAGAAAGCTTTTCTTGTTTCCTTTGTTATAGTCTATTTTTGTGATAGAAAAACATTTATTAAATATTATAATAAAACCTTTTATCTTGCTTTTTATTCTTTATTGATATTCTGTATTCATGTAAGAAAATTTGAACCACTTGATTTTTTCTGGTTTATATTTTTTTTAATAAGAACTTTATTATATTGTGTTTCAAAATACAATTAAAATACAAAACAGAAAGTATAGCAAAGAGAAAAGATAGAGCTAAAAGAAAAAAGGCAAAAACTAAAATAGTGGAGATAGGTAGAAAATTGAAACAGAAAGTGACTTCTGACTATCTCCAATACAGATATAAATACAAATTTAATCTCTGACCACTGATTAATCCAAGTTCACATTATTTCTATCAACACAAACCATCTGATCATTAAAGCCCACAATCAAAGTCTGGTTTATATTGTCAGTAACATTTAAAATATATCTGATATTATGTCTCATGTACCTCTTTGGAACAGATCCAGTCTGGTCAGACTGTACTTGGCTTAAAGGGCCATTTATTCTCCTTGCAAGTGTTGCTGTAAAAAGCTTGCGATCTGAATTCTGCAGGAAATAGATCTGTACAACTTCTTTCCCTCTTTGTGGATCAGAGAAATGAAAGCTGCTTTCTATGGCAAAGGAAATACTTGGCACTGTTGGATCTTGTTCATTACCTGAATTAATGGTTTAACAGAAATTTCAGGAAGAGTCATCTACAGTATTGCAGGCATGCTATCAGGCCCCGGAAAGTTATTCCGTTTCAGTTTCTGTATTGTTTCTTTGGTTTCATCTTCAGTTATTAATAAAGTGCTGCCTTTTGTTGATCTGTGAATTTTGTGAATAAGATTGTATTAGACTTCCATCTTTTCTAGGTTAGGTGTTTGCTTACTATATAGTTTTGAATAATAAATTTACAAATTGCTCCATCATCTCTGTTGTAGAAACATATCTACTTCCATCCTTAATAGAAATGATTGTTACTTGGTCTTCTTCTTTTCACAGTTGGTAGGCCAACAATTTATTTAGTTTGTTGCTTTTTTGAAATATTTATTCTTTCATCAAATTTCTAGGCCACTTGACTCCAGACTGAATCTGGGTGGCTTCACAATTAAAAAACAGGTAAAAACAATATAATATAGAAAGAACAGCAGTCACCCAGAGGGAGCAAATCCCCCATCTTTAATTTCATTTATTTGATTTGATATAGCTGCCCACTCCAGAAGAGGTCCAGTCACACCCTAAGGCCTGGAGCAAGAGCCAGGTTTTTAAGGCTTATTTAAAGGCAGGTAGCATGGGGGTGATATGAATGTTCAACAGTTCAACTTCTTAGAAGTTTAATTCCATTAAATCTATTTTGTTGTGGATCCCTTTGATTTTTTGTTCTGAATCCAAAACAGTGTTATGCCTGTGTCTTAATTCTAATTGCTTTGGTTTGTTCACCAACATCCTTCTGGTTTTCACGGCTCTCTTTCTGTTTGATGCCTGAGAGATGAGCGGTCCTCTTATCGATGCTTCTCTGGAGGCCCAGGCTGTGCACAAAGAAACATCAGGGATTAAACTGACTTGGAAGAAGTTCTTTAATTCCCATTGACCATTTGATTTGTCGTCTTCTTGGAACAGTAATTGTTAAATCTCCACCTCTTCCATTTGGAGATTCATCTTATTTAATCTTACAATTATTAGTCTGTGGTCTGCGTAAGAGCTGCAACACCTACTTCTATGAGATTAGTTAACAGTGAATTAGAAATCGACCACAGATCTATTCTTGGGTGAGTTTTGTGATCTGAAGAATAATTATATTCTTCCTCTACAGGGTATTTATATCTTCAGACATTGGAAAGAGGTAGTAGTGACATAATGTAAGACATTTTGAGGGACTTTACCAGAGTTCTTTTTAAATAAAGCAGCTTTGTCCATGTCCAGAGAAAAAAACCCATTCGCATACCTGAGAATCATAATATCTTGTTCTGCAATTGCTATTTTCCCATATTCAGTATGAAATCATAATATTATAAATCTCCATCTTGAAATTATTTTTCCAAATTCCATAAGTTTTTCACATATATGATTACCCCATTTTTACCCCAAGCCTTGATTACCCAAGGCTGCAATTTTTTAAATGAGATATTTACGCTTTAACAGATTTACAATATCCTTTTTAATCTTGTCTCTCTTGAAGACAAATAATATTTGTATTTTCTTTTTTTTAAGCTTCAGAAGAATCTTTTTCCTTTTAAATGGGCTGTTTAGCCTATGAATATTAGTTGAGAATATTTTAATTTAATCCATGGTGCTAGTTATAAATTAGCTATAATCTATGAAGAAATAGCAGTTGCTTGGTCCAATTTTTGACCTTTTGGTCTTGGTTTTTCCCCCTGTTCTGTCACTGCTAATGACTCAAGCGTTCTACTGGCATCATCATATAGGAGCTTTACCACCACCCATGAAGACCTCCAGACAGAATGGAGTAGCCCACCTCTATTTGGTCTTTCTTTCTTGAAGAGCAGTTGTTAAAAATCTCAGGGGTCTTCTCTGCCTAAATATCTTCAGAGGCACATCTAGTAGAATCTCAATTATATACCCATCTTTTAAAGGAGTGCCAGTCCTTTCTTCTAATATTGGTTTTTTTTTGGTCTTAAAATACATAAATTTGGTACAGGGCAATTTTCTTCTTCATGCTGCTTATGAGGTTATTCTGTACATTTCTTCAGTTTCCAGAGTTTCATCTGCGTCCAAATCAAAGTAAGTTTTGAGTAAGTTTTTCGTTTCTCTAAATCTTCTTTCCCTGCATCTTCCAATATACCTCTGAACTTTACATTGTTTTTACATAGTTCTGTTTCAACAATTTGTAATGTAACTTCTGAACTTTTGACTTGAATTCTGTGCCCTTGATGTCTTGCTGGATGCCTGTAATTTCTTTATTATGCTGTTCTAATTTAGTTGTTAATTTGTCATATTTTTCATCAAAGTCAATGTTAAAGGAATGCAGTTTTTCTTCCATGTCTTAATGTTTTTGTTGATTTAATTTCTTGACGTTATCTTCCACTGTATGCTTTTCTTGTTGACTTGTAAGAATAATTTTATTTTACGATGAAGTAACAGAGGAACCAATCGTTGACAACTGTTGTGATAAATATTGGACTTCTGGTTTTGTCATCTATTCCTTACTCTGTTGTTTCCTACTAATTTTTGATAGATATGCCCTCTGTTTCTTTTCATTAAGCAGATCCAGAACAAATCATACAGTTTGGATAACTAAATAAGATAAAACTCATTTATAGGTAGCCCTTGAGTTACAACTGCAATTGGGACTGGGATTGCCATCGCTAAGCAATGTGGTTGTAAAGTGCGATGTCACATGACTGCATTGCTTAGCGACAGCAATCCTAGGCAGTTCTGGTTGTTGTCATAACCCTGAGACGTGCGGGTTGTTAAGTGGGAAGCGGAGGGAATCCCAGGTAAGGAGTGTGGGGGTACTGCAAGGGGGTAGGGAAGGCCCTGGGAGGCCTGGTACAGGCTGTGTGCAAGTCGGGGGAGCAGGTGCTTGGTGTGGTGTGAGCTCAGGAAGGCCAGTGAATGAGGGCACAGCGTGTAGGCGATCTCAGGGAGGCTGAGAAAAGAGGGCGCAGGGTGCGTGTGTGCAAGCGCAGGGATGCCAAGGAAAAAGGGTGCAGGTTGTGTGCGAGTGAGGGGCAGAAGGAGGACATGGTACGTGCGAGTGAAGAAAGGCCAGGGAGGGAGACTTACTCTGTGACCTTCCTTGCTGGCTTCCCATTGACTTTGCTTGGGGGAAACTATCAGGGAAGGTTGCGAATGGCGATCATGTGATTGTGGGGTGCTTGGCAACCGGTCATAAGTGCAAATGGGTTGCCAAGCATCCAGATTGCAATCATGTCATGTGACTGCGGGGGTGCTGGGATGGTTTGAGGACCGGTCATAAGTCTCCTTTTTTCAGCATCATTAACTTAGAACAGTTGCTGAATGAATGGTCGTAAATTGAGGACTACCTTTATATCTAAATATTGTATTACATTAATGCCTGTGAAATATAGTATGAGACAAAAATGACCTTCAGGTTAATATAGGTCTTAAGTCAATACCTAAAGTCTGTTTTTAAAAAAATGCTGGATAACATACGAACTAAGGAACGCTGAATGCAAGAAAATAAATCCAAATAAGGCAAAAAGGATAATAGATAAATCAGTTGTCTCCAAGTTGGTACAGCCCTTGTTTGTATAATCAACCTGAAAAAAATAATAATATAAGTCAAGAAGGTGCTATCTTCATTTGGAAATTTTTGCCAGGGTCGCCAGATACAATAGTATAATTCTCTGTAGTGAAGACCCAAGCAGTTCCTCGGACTCAGTCTTCATTTAAATTTCATTTCAAGATTGAAAAACCTCACATAGGCATTTCTTGTGTCAGAGCTCTCTCTTGTGCTTGCAAGAATTCATCCTCAGGTTGTGAAAAGAAAAAGGAGCATAAGGGCTTGTTTAAAAAGAAAGCCAGATGGCTCATAGCCTGAACAAAGCTGAGTGCCAGAAAGTAAATCCCAGTAAGGCAAATGGAATATTCACAGTCAGCAGTCTCCAAATTAGTATAGCTCTGGTTTTTGTAAATGTATTCATTATGCCATCTTTTATCAGTCCAAATATTTCTTTTGGGTATCCTACAAAAAAAGAAAAGGAAAGAAAATAATGAAGGGGAAGGAAAAGAAGATCTGTAGTCACTTGGGAATCCTGGCTGTGTTACCCAGAGATAAATCATAGCTCTCCTTATCCCTTTTTAAAACATGTTTATAGTTGTAAGGCTGGTATTTAAACAGTTGAACAGCTAAGAGGAGAAGGTAAGCAGGTCCCGAAGCGTTTTGTTATACTTTAGATCAGGGTTCCTCAACCTCGGCGACTTGAAGATGGGTGGACTTCAACTCCCAGAATTCCCCAGCCAGCCATGCTGGGTGGGGAATTCTGGGAGTTGAAGTCCACCCATCTTCAAGTCGCCGAGGTTGAGGAACCCTGCTTTAGATGATAACGTTTGTTGTGGTCAGAGAAAAGGTTTCCTTTTGATAACTCGCCTCTACAGATCATTCTTGTACTCTATAAGCAATACTCCATAACAACTGTGGGATTCTCTTCCATGGCTGATTGTAGGCCTAACGAGTCAGCCACCTTTTGGGGCCTTACTAAGAATTTTACAGTTGTGTTCGAACATCTGCACGTGCCACATTCACCACTGCACATACACAGTAATCTGTGTTCATATTTGCAGAAAGATGCCATGTTTTGCTTGGTACCGTGTGAGTTTTTGTTCACTTGGGAATGCATTGAAAGAGGGCTGCCTAGACCTCTTTAAGCAATTTTAGTCCTTGATTAAGCCTCGAAAGTCAACTCCACCGAACAGGGACAAGTTGGGCTAGAAGAACCGGAAACTCTTAGAATGTCCGCCAGCCTTTGGGAATCTGGATAAAGACCGCATGCAAGTGTTTGTAAAAATGAAAGTTAAAATAACGGGTAAGAACTTTATGCAGGTCTGCTTAGAAGACATTTCCACTGGGGTTCAAAACTTTTACTCTTCTTTTGGCATTGTGTCCAGGGAAATCTGCGTGTGTGTGTGAAATCAGTGCATGTAAAAAAAAAAAAACCCCTTGATTTTTTTAACATT